TAAGGTGGTATAATATCAAAACACAATGGAATTCAAAGAATATCTATTCAATTGTCTGGAGTGGCTGTAGCTGAGAAGGGAGAGCAGGTCATCTGCTGATTGGAAGGTTGGTGGTTAGCCAGTCTGCATATTTGGCATACAGACTGGAGTAGCCAGATTTGCATGGGCAAGATATTGCATGAATCCATCAGAGTGTGAATGTTAGATAGAAAGCATTTGCACATAGAAAAAAAGTGATTGGGTGAATGAGGCATGTTGTATAAAGCACCTTGAGTGCTCACATAGGGTAGAAAAATGCTATGTAAGAGCCAGTTTACTTACCAAGTGTGTTTATATATAAAAAAAAATAAAATATCTGACGAACAGCAGACCAAGCATGGAATTAAAACGATAAGAATCTGTGAAACTGTGATTCATCATTACAGATGCACGGAGAAACTGTTATTTTTAATTTTCACTAATTCAGCATTTATACACTACATTAAAAAGGAATGTGGAAAACATGAGCTGTCACAATGAGCAGTTCTTACTTATGTGCGGTTAACACCATCTTAGGCACATATGCAAATTACCAAATATGTGCATGTGCTTACGCACTTTGACTTTAAAAAAAAAACCCGCTAATAATAAAGACAGTATGGAGAATGAAACCTAATTCTTGATCATATCAAACTGAAGCATATCAGTTACAAACCAGAAAGTAGATTAACGAGTGAGTAGGTCCGGGTCAGCTGAACACAGGGAATTTCAGAGTTTCCCCAGTTGACAGATGACGACTCAGCATGAGCGCAGGGCTACTTAAGTTTCACATCACACCAATACGGGTTTTTCATACTGCTTGTACAGCTCTGCAGAAATAATAAATTTGTTGACAACGTTTTATTTATTATTGCATGCTTGTGTATGTGCATGTGTTATTCTGTGTGTGTGTGTCAGGTTAAAACCACTTAGGTATTGGCAAAAAGCACTTGTATAAATGTGTGTGTGAATGAATGAGGTGAAAACCACTTCAAGTGCTCAAATAGAGTAAATAGCACCAGTCGGTTCGCAGTCAAGTGAGCATTAAATAAATAAATTATGATGAATTCGTTTTTTCATTTCCATCACTAAGCAGAGCACATTCATCACAGTGAGTAAGCTGGGAGGGCAGTTCAGTGACTGAAGAATTACTCGTAGTTCTCTGTTGGTCAACTACAGGGAACGAAGATGAAGCTCCAAGAAATTTGCTCTTTTACTGTTCTGAGCATTCTTCAAAATAGGCATCGATCCACCCCGTTACCAGCTGTCAGATCAGATCTCATGCAACTTGTTACCACACCCATCCATGTGAGTGTGACTGGCGGTATCAGCGATACTTACTGACCCTGGTCATAGAAGATGCATTTCTGATCATTTCCTTTTTGAGAATTTCTAAAGCTGCACAAAACTAGTGAAGACACACACACTCACACTTCATAACAATTGTTTATGTTTATATAACCAAAGCCACAAAGTATAAACAATAACTGAAACATACCTGAGAAGAGTTGTGTGCTACAAATGAGGGGGGGGAGAGTACACATACGCGCACACACACACACGCATTCAAACGGACAAACAATGTGAAAGTGAAAGAGGAGTGTGGTGAATGTGACTGTAAAGACGCGTTAGTTTCTGATAAACTGACAAAAAATGTGATGCACAAGGCTGAGGAAAGGCATAACTACAATACAGAGTGCAAGTCATCAGGTCTGCAGAGCACAAGAAATTCACATTCAGACGCATTGTTATATCAGCTCATTTCTGTCAAGTTCCAGGAGTGGGTTAGGTTTCAACTGGATGTGATATCAGCAGTAGTTTCATGTAAAGTGCTGAAAATCGCTGACAGCAGATTCTCAGCACTGGTGCATGACAGCATCAGCAAACTGAGGTGAAGGGTTAAGAGCAAAGACAACAGAGACACCTAATTATTTACAAGGCATACGCCTCCCAGCCGACTGTTACAACAAAGCGACAAGATGCAAGATAAGCTCTGGCTCTGCTTTGTCCCCATTTCATTGAAGCAAATTGTGAACAGGACATGAAAAGGGATGTGTTGGCAGAAGAAAACCGTTGTATGGTGTGGGAAATATCACTGCTAAAGCACTTCTTTGCGGTTTCGTTTGACAGGTTACCTTTTACAGACTGAGATGAAGGAGCCGCTTAACGAAAATGTTAACTTTCTGACAGCGCAGATTCTTTTTCATAGTATTGTCATATTGCTAAAACAAAGAGATAAAACTTCATGCCTGTAGCTTTCATCCATATTTTGCAGCGTTCTAGTGTGAAAGTCACAAGTCTGTCAGTTTACTTTATTTTATATTAAAATGAGACAGAAATGCAAATGTCACCCGAGAAAGGCAGCTATATTAAAGTGTATGCGGTTTTCCTTTTTTTGGTGCTACATACTGATTCAAAACCAGGAAACAGCTTGTTACAATGTGACTGATGGAGGACTGATGTAACCTCTGTACCAGAACAGAGAAGTCGACTATAAAGTGCCTTAGCCCTTAAAGAATAAGACCCAACTTCTCTCTTGATTTATTACCTCAGTAAATACTTTGACCTTTTAGCACTGTGTTTTCAGTTTCAGTAACATTTCCCTTGCCTTAGATTGCTGTTAAGATTTTTTCAGTCTCGAGAAGAGTTTTTGCTTGCTACAGGCTGCATGGCAGCACGGTGGTTAGCACCGTTGAAGGTCCTGAGTTTAATTCCACCATCAGGGTCTTTCTGTGTGGAGTTTGCATGTTCTCCCCGTAAACAGGAATGTGTTGCAAGAGGCTACAGTTTACATGGGCTCATCACAACTGGTGAGATTGGGAAAAACGTCAGGTGTGATGAGTCTAGATTTGTGCTGTGACATTTGGATGGCAGGGTATTGCATCAACAGTCAGGCTGCTGCTGCTTGTATAATGTTCTTGGCGCACTTTAGTACCATCTTAGCATCACTTAACTGCCACAGCCTACCTGAGCATTAATGGTGTATTATTGGATCCTTACTGGGTATGTTCATCCCTTTGTGATCCCAGAGTATCCATCTTCTCATAGACACCTTCAGGAGGTTATCATGTCCCAAAGCTCAAATCATCTCAAACTGGATTCTTGAGCATGACTTTGAGTTCACTGTACTCGAATGGCCTCCACGATCACAAGATCTCAGTCGAACAGAGCACATTTGGGATGCGGTGGAACGAGAGATTCTCATCGTGGATGTGCATAACTGTCAAGTGAATATGAACCGAAATCTCTGAGAAATGTTTCCGACACCTTGCTGAATCTGTGCCACGAAGAATTAAAGCAGTTAAGGCAAAAAGGTTTCCAACTTAGTACCTACAACAGGAAGGTGTGGTGAAATGCTTAACTGGAGGCATGAAGACGGTAGCCCACAAACCAATGGATGACATCATTTTTGCTAATCTTTTGCATATGGTTTCAGGTATATCTCGTGGCAAACGGGATTAGCATTACTAATACCAGTAACACAATTTCAACCTGAACTAATCATACCTTGATAACACCTCAGTTCTGTGAATGGCAGGTCTGAAGACCTCATTTATTGTGTGGTGTGGGTTTCTATTACTCAGGAGTTTATCTGGTTAAACATCTTATGACAAAAGATTCTGACTAACAACTTAAAATTTGTCATTTTCAGAACGAAAAATGACGTATCAGACTAGTCAGAAGTATCTTAAAAGCAACTAATTATACAAATTATAAAATCACAATGCAGAGCGCATACATGCACTGATGTGAAGTATGAGGCGTTTCCCATGAACTGGTCACTGCTGATTCATTTATTTTACGTGGAGTAACTTCAGCTGTTCCCTTACTTCCTAAGGTGTTGCCCCATGCATAGATTTTACGCTGGATTGGCCTTGATGACATAACCGTGGGACCAAACGAGAGTACACTAGCTCATGACCCTCTAAGGATGGAGTTTGTCGGCTCTCGGTCTCAAATCAGGGATCTTTTACACGTTAGCGAATGGGTTAACGACTACACTATAGATTTCACAGATAATAGATATCGTGGATAGATTTGACCACTTCTTGATTTTTCTCTCCCTAACCCAAACCATAACATGTTCCCTTGCTCTGTTTATTTTTTGTAACAAACTGAAAGTTACACCATAATTTAGACATTTCAAATCTTCTGCCTTCAAAAACAACTTGAAACCCTTTTATTAAATCTCTTATTACAATATTATTGCAAAATTATGTATGTGTCACGTGTTAAATGAACTTTAGCTTGACCCTTCATTTGTCTGCTGACTGTAAAGTCTGTTTATCACACAGAGGCGATCACAGAATGACCCCCCCTCCCCACACCCACACACACGGGCGTATTTTCCAAATGCCAGTGTTGCCTAACATGCACGGCCTAAGACGACGTGTGAATTGGGGAGATATCAAATTATCTGGACTGCTGGACATTCCATTCAAAAAAAGTACTAAGGGGGAAATACCTCTTACACTCCCAACATTACTGAATCACTTCTTGGTGCGGTTTCTCTATTACAAATCTGAAAACATATAAACATTGTTTTTAATGCAAAATGGTTCACTGAGAAAGGATTATGGAATCTAAGAAAGACTGCAGTAACTCCAACTCAAAGTGAAAAGCACTCTTATTACGTATGTCTGACATGCAGCGAGAATCCACAGCGTCATCATATTCAAACCACAATTCATGTCATTTCCATATGGGGGTTCGATTTCCTTTGTTATTGTGAATAGTCATACGTTGCTTTTCATGGACTTTAAACACAGTTTTTACACTGAAAAATCAGTTTGGAGTTCTTTATCTGCTCCTTTTAGGAACTTAGTAGGGTCGATGCGTGTAAACTTGTCACTTAAAAGCAACAGGTTGAATAAAAATTCAAAATATATAATGATTATAATAAGGTGAGGAAGGTGAATTATTGATCACAGAAAATGATGTCAGAGTTTATTTCCATGATGTCGATACCAACCCATATGATGGGAGTGGTAGAACATATGCAACACACTAGCTGCTTCTAGGCCAAAAAAAATTCCCCTTCATGTATGAAGCATGTTTAACCATTTCTCTTCCAGTAAGTCTCCTCCCTCGCCAGATTTTGCTATAAATTAAAGCAACTGATGAGCTCTAGTATACACATTTTTCTCTTCTGAGCAATTCAGCAAGATCCAACAAAGCCTTTTGTGCAGCAGCAGCAGGAGCATCAGCATTTCTGTGGACCAGCTATTCTCTTCATTCCAGCCAGAACACTTCAGCATCTTATCCAGCAGAATGACTTCTCAGACCGTCCTCCTGTGCGTCCTGGCGCTCGCGTCTTTCTTCAGCTCTGCTTTGTGCTCTCCTATGTGCAACAACCGCTGCTGCCGTTTCGTGGAGGGCTTCCCCGTCAGGCTCAAGAAGCTCAGACAGGACTATTCACGGATCAGAGATTTCTACGTGAGTAAAAGCATGTTCTCTGCAGGCATTTTTGCAGCATCACCAGCCTTCCCCACAGCGGGGATGCTGCACTTTCTCACTTCTGCCTGTCAGCCTTTGTGGGTGCACGGGTGTCTCACGGCGCACTTACTATTTTTTTCTCCTTCGCTGTTTTTGCAGGAAGCAAACGATGACTTAGACTCAGCGCTGCTAGATCAGTCCGTCGAAGACTCCTTTAAGGTAAGATTCTCGAGGGGGGAAAAAACCCTCTCCACAAAAAGTTTAGGATTTAATAAGAAAAGCATGAAAATAACCACGCTGATGTTCTGCTCCATCAGAGCCCGTTTGCCTGTTACGCCATGAACAGCTTACTGGAATTTTACCTGGACACGGTTCTGCCGACAGCCATGGCCGGAGTGACTGAAGACACCAAGAACTTAAAGCCTCACGTGGAGTCCATACAAGAAATTTTCAATACCCTGAAGAGAGATGTCACCCAGTGTGTGAGTATCTGACACGTGTTAACTCCCACAGCAAAACAAACCGTGTAAATATTCACCTTGCGCTGCTTTAAGGTCACGAGTATCCTCTGTAGAATACGCAAGTGCATGCCTTAAACTACCATTCAGTGGCTTCATATGACTTTTTTGTTATGTTCTCTCAAGTCGTTAAAGATGGCAAAAAAAAGCCGAGCAGAATTCAATAAAACTATTTACAAGTAATCACTGCAAAGTATGTTTGGTCAGGTGGATAGGGTTTGGTTGATAAAATACACCTATAAATTGAGTTATATATTGATTTTGATTTTTACTTTAAATAGCCGTTTGACTTTGTGATCATCTGCAAGGAAGTTAGCTTCTACTCTGCATTTACAAATATCCAATTTCTTAATTCATTGAACCAAAAAATTTCCAAGTACCCTGCGACAGGTTGATTCGGGTTTAAGCGAGTGCTCACAGAACGAGTCTTAATACTGCATTAGTCATGTGATTTTTGAAATGCACAAGTGTGCATCTTCCAGATTTTGCAAAAAGGGAAGAGAAGAGACTGAATGTTCCTGCCTTAAGGTTCTTTTCTTAATGTTGTCCGCATGCAGATCACCAGTAGTAACATCATGTCTCTTTTGCTCTTCTTACAGAGGAACTACTTCTCCTGCAAAAAACATTTCGACATCAACAACCTGAACTCTACTTACACTCAGGTGAGTGTCAAAGTCACACATGCAGTGAGGCAATATTTGTAATCCTGATTTCAAAAGAATATGCATGCCTATACTTTTCGCCATTTGTACTAAGTGAACCTGTCTTTGCTCATCTGCAGATGGAGAGCAGAGGTCTATACAAGGCCATGGGAGAGCTGGACATATTGTTTAACTACTTTGAGACATACCTGGCTTCTAAACGACACAGACAATAACCTCTGCTGGAAGACCTCCTGACCTAAATCAAGATATGAAGCTCATCTCTGGGAGAAACAGAACTTTTACAAGTATTGACAGATGTGAATTTTTTGTATGGGACTTACTGAACTGTTGTCTTTATTTTTTATGAGACGTTATAACCAATTTGTCCTATGGACAATTTTCTGTTAGGATCCTTTTGAATCATTATCATGCTGTTTTAAAAAAGGACACTTTGTTATAATAATATTACATTTGTTATAATTATTTATAAAGATGTTTCATTCTGTGTTTTTTATATTTATTGTGCCTTCTGTTAAATTGAAATAAATTACTTTAATAATATGACAGATGTCTCTTTAGAGTTGCTTTCACGATATGTAAAAGCTGCTATGTTTGCCATTAAAAGGAATAGAGCACTGAATACATCACATCCTGCAGTATACGTGAGGAACCATAGACTGCACTGTCAACATGCTGATGCACTAACCTCAAACGTGACCCATATACATCACTTACCAGCAGCAACACTGCTGTATCTTAACTTACCGTAACTCCAACTAGCCAGCCTCACCCTCAATGGCATATGCACACTTGCATGCATGCAAAAGTAATCTCACTTAGTCACACACATTTAGAACAAAACTGACAGGCAAACTAAAACCACTCTGTCACAATGAAGGGAGCACAAAGTCATGGGGAGCAATTGCAGATTTATTTTGGGGAGGGGGTGGTGAAAGCATCATACAACAGTCAATGATCTGAACTGCAAATAAAGAAGAAGAAACTGTACACAGACACCTGTGTACTGTAGTATCTTTGACTGTTTTTTTGAAAGTGAAGCATCTACAAAACAAACTCACAAGCATCAGTGAGGTTCCAGACCTGACTCAGGGCTGCACTGAAACTACTCCAGGACATTTCGTCAGTCACTTGCTGACTCAACGTGGGATGAATAGTATCAATTCAGCAATGACAGTACCTTGCAAAAAGATATCATTCATAACTTTGTTCTAACAGGGCATTGCTATTTTTTTGACCTGTGCAAAAAGCAGTTTGTCAGCAGTGTTGTGGTCAGTGCTTTTATTATTTCGATTTTTTTAAAGATGCTTGCAGATTCACACTTCAGTCACCCCCCGCCCCCCAAAGAGCTCTGGAATCGGTTCCACGTAAACCGATTAAGATCACATCTGGTTGTTATGTAATGAGTGGACTTTCAGACAGCAGTAGCTTCAAAGCAGGCTGAGAAAAACTGAAGAATCATTTTCACAAGTTTCACGCTGGTACTCTTACACTAAATATTCACATCCACCTAAAGCATGGCATTGAGCAGAATGCAACATCTCTGAATATTGTACAGGCATGCTCACGAACAGCAGGTCACAATAAAGAAAGCAATTAAAATATCTGTTCCTTGGGCAAATGAAATACGGCTGTGTGGAATCTTTGAAAATTACGTTTCATGGTGTTTTCAGTGAATAGAACATTTTCACAGATGCATGTGTGTCTGATTTTGTTGACGGAAATATAAACAAAAAAAGTCTTTCACTCATCTGTTTCATAGCTCACGTGTATAGGAAAGTAACAAACAGTGCACACAGACGCATATGTGTTCCGCACCCTGGAAAAAAAAACATTTATTCAGAGGTTTCGGTACTCGATCACGAGGCAATTAATCAAAGGGAAGGTACCTCTTATAAGACTGGTTCTAAGGCTGCAAGTGCATATTGAAAGTTCAGTCAGTTTGCCGCTACACTATATGGACAAAAACGGTCACCTTCACATTGCACCTACAGGAGGTTTTATGGCATCCCATCCTACATCCGTAGGCAGAGCAACTATGATGTCTTCCGCTCTTCTGGGAAGGCTTTCTATGACATTTTGGAATGTGTCTCTGGGAATGATTGCCCACCCCCCAACAGTGGTGTTGGACAAGAGGCTTGACTTGCAATTTCTGTTCAATATTTTCTCAGAGGTGATTTTGATGGGGTTAAGGGAGGTCAGGGTTCTGTACAGGCCAGTCAGATTATTCCACACCAAACTCATACTTTTTTTTTTTTTTTTTTAATTAATAGAAAAACAAAGTCTGTTTAGAAATCATGAAGCTATGTGAGGAAACAAAAGCATCTTCAAGAAGAAAAGGAAACAGCAGTCAGATGTCAAATAGACCAGCTATGATTCATTATTTAGAATAATTATTTGCATGTTTGCAAATAATATTTCTACACACACATGCACCAAATTTAGATCCTTCAGAGACTGATACCCTTTAGATAGAACGTGACACACTCAATTATGAGTCATTAGCCCACCTTCTTGGCATGACACGATGAGTAAAAGGACACAGTGCATGACATGTCACTTTGTAGGCACAGTATGGATATTCTTCCTGGCAACCTTTCTGCATCGTTCACTGGAAAGACATCGGTGTGAGCTCTGATCATGTTGTGACGGATTTCACAAACACAATATTAAGAGCTGTTCCCCACACATTGCACAACTGGGTACTTGCTGAAAAAGGACATAACCATATTAGGTTATGTTCTGCAAATGACAAAAGTGCCACACAAAGCATGTGGTTGTCACAGTACGATCCTATTCTACTATAACTACTCACTGTATAACTGCATATAAGATGAAGATCAGTGTTTCATGGCAGAATATTAGCACAAAAACTGTTAATAACAATAACTATGACTTATTATTACTATTATTAATATTAATGAGGCATCTGATAGCTGCCAAATTCATTTTGTAGCACCACAATGAGCCTAAACATGCAGCCTCACTCACAGAGAACAATCTTGAAAAACAATCCAGCAACAGGTGGTCTGACTGCCATCAGCTCAGGTCTCATAGTCTGAGAATTACAGAGGAGCCACTGAGAGCCTGAATTCATAAGCTGTTCTCCAAAATAATTTATTTATTAAAGCTTGAAACCAAGAAAAAAAAGCAGCTTTTCTTAAAAAAAAAGAAAAAAGAAAAAAACAAGTTCTTTGGGTAGCGACTGAGAAATCAAAAGCCATCCATTGTATTATTTCTAGAAAGGCCCCTCACTTTGCTTTCCAGTATTTATAACTTGCACTATACTAAATGTATAGTGACACTTCCTTGTGCAACTCAGCTTTAAAGATCAAAACATGTTTCTCCAAGAAGCACACCTTTGTTACAGGGACCTAAAGAAAATTTATCAGAAAAACGTAATCAAAGCAACCGCGCTAACCACAACATGCACGCTGGGCTGTTCTTGACAGTAAGATGATGTGGATTTCCATCACACGTGAAAGATAAGCCACTGTACATGCTAAACTGACAACACAAGGATTCCATTTCATGTCTGGTTTACTCTGTGCTGCGGGTTTCTTGCTGAGGTAATGTGCCGCATCTACGGCTCTACTGTCTGCAGCAGGTCAAGTCAGAGCCGGCACGTACAAGAGGATGTGTGTTTGTGTGTGAGAATCAGGATGGCATGCCACTTCAAAGAACTCAGAGCTGTGTGTCACCAGCTCAGCTGAGAAGTCTCCATCCTCTACATTTCCCCACACCTTTTAAAAACAGTGAACACAACAATAACATATTGGAGGCCAACTTGCTGACAGTTTCCAGACCAGGAAAAATTATTTAATCACTTGTTTTTAAATTGATGAGGGGGAAAAAAAAAACAAGCATCTAAACCAACTTCCTCTGATCGCATTTATCACAAATCGCATCAGCTGCTGAGAATATTACTTTAGAAAACATGTACATATAGTGATGACATTTTACAATGCTGCTCATCTCTACCCACCCAGACCGCAGAAAGAGTCCGGGGACCCATCCTTTGTGAAAAGCATGCCGAGTGGGCGCCCTAAGGTTCTGATGCATTTGTAGTGAGGGGTTGAATCTCCACAGGACTACTATTACAAGGGACTCCCCTGGGGCCCAATTTACCCCCTCTCTCACTTACCTGGCAGAGACACACGTCTTACAGAGATGACTGTGGGTTTCGTCACACTCAGAGCTGGAAGCTCAAAGTCTACAGTTGCCTTGCACCTGAACCATATGCACTAGCGGGAAACTGCTCTAAACACCCCACTGTTGGCAAATGTCTGTGTTGACTCAATGCCACTGTGCTGTTTTGCTACGCAAATGCGTATATTCCAGGAGTCACTCATTCTAGCAGGGATGATACAAACTGGTCACGAGTTGAGTCTGTGCACTTCGGCTGAAAGCCACAATTCCCAAATCGACACAAGAACCTGAATCATAACAGACAAGTGTTTCAGTTGAAAAATTCCCTGAATGTGGAGGCATAGGTCAAATATGAGGAAGATAGATATATATAGATATATCTATTTATATTTTCCCTGTATTTACTGAATTTCATAAAATTTCAGTTATACAACAAAACAGACTTGAAGTGCAAGACTTTCAGTTTTACTTTGAGGGCACAGGAAAGGGGTTTTAGAGCTCAAAGTCTTGGCTTTGTGATGAGATCTTGAATCCATACTATACAGAAACACAGGCATTCACACACAGATCCTGTTTTTTTCTTTAAAAAAAGAGATAACAGAAAGTTGGTGTTTTATGGTTGTTGTTTTTTTAATCCAAAGCTGAAGCAGACAAATGTACGAGAGCTGAACAGATTCCAAGACACATCTGTGTTTCCACTACAAAAATGTGTTGAGAGGGACAAAAAATAAAAAATAAACATTGTCACAAACATTTCATGAACATTTTTCCTGTAAGAAATTTCTAGGTGCGATATGACAAGTAAAGTGGAAGTGATCTTACAAAGTGAAGTGGCCTAAACTGACAAAATTATACAATAATATTCCCATGATTCCCAAAGTGAGCTGGGAAGTGTCCTGTTGCATTAACAAAACACTACAGAAGGAGAGACCATTATACTTTCTCTGAATGTGATGACAGCTTGCTGGTGGTAAATCAGACTGTGCACAAGGATGAGGAGCAGCTACTACGTACTTTCTAACCTATCAGTTTCCGAGGAATTGTGAAGAACTGACAGATGATAATGGAACTGCACTAGATTAGTCAAGTTGAGTATATCCTGACTAACCCTGGTGCAACCAACAGTAACTGGAAATGACCAGTGTGCCTTCTGTACTCCCAAGGGGATGCTACTGCTTACATAAAACACGGGAACACTCCCTACAGTTGCTCAACATCTCTTCAACACATGTACAAACAGAAATCACTCGTAATTTGATGACAAAAAACATCTGCATAGCATTAACCTGAAATATAATCTGGCAACGTTTTAAATTCTGAAGCAAAACATTGGTAAAAGCTTGAACCAAATGGTAAGTTTGAGTTAAAAGCCATTTGCTGATTTAGCAGTACTCATTAAGGCCTATGTTAAAACGTTTATAGAATTCATAAAAAGTACAGTATAGGCTGCCTCCAACTCTCCTATGAGCTACATGCAGGAGAAAGACGGGCCAGTTTCTGTATTTTAATGTGGCTTCCCTCTCTGCCCTAAAATTGTGTACCTGAAAAACAAGCGTAGATAAAGATAGGAGAGAGGGGCCACGAGTGAGGTGCTCTGTCAGAACGGCCCCTGTGTGAGTGCATAGGCCTGTGTTCAACATTCACAAAGACAAACTGAACCTGACACACACTCCGAGTCCCGGGAATCAGCAGCTTACTTCTAGCTGATTCCAACAATCGAGGACAGAGTCTTTACATTCCACTTGTCAGTTCAAAATACATCTGCTTATTTTGCATGTAAGAAAAACTAAACCTTCCCTTGTGTGTCTGTGTTTTTTTGTTTTTTTCATTTTTGGGATTTAGCCATCAGAGTTAACATTCAAAGGTTTGGGGCTTGAGCTGGAGCAGGCTTGTGGGGTGGTGTAAAATAACTACTGCTAATGCTAAGGCGTACATCTCCTATTCCAACATTAGAGCCCCTGTGAGTACACAACCTGATATTTAGGAAAGAAGAGGCAAGAGGATGTGTCAGTTCCCCATTCTCCCCTTTTCTAAATTTCATAATCTCTTCAGTGGTGTAAAAACACAGATCAACATCCCCTCTGCTGCTGCAGAGCGATGAGTTGTTAAAATGGTAGAGTAATAAAAACAAACACTCTTACAAAACATTACAATTTGTCATGAAAAATAAAACACTGAGAAAAAAAAGAAAAGAAAGAAAAATCCATGCAACCCGACTCACGTGTCGACAAATTATTGCTTCCTTTTCACAACCTGTGTTTGTATGTGAAAGCAGGCATGCATGCATCTTTCAGTGAGCAGCAGGTGTAGCCACGGCGTTATTTGCCTTCTTCCTCCTTTTCATTAGCAGTGGATTGGTCGAGTCCTCGATGGTCTTAATTCTGATTTGCTCGTAGTCGACCCTCATTGTTGCCAAGGCACTAGTCATTTCTTCCTGTTAAATTGAGAAACAAAACAAGGCCATTAGTTTTATTTACTTATCAAAATCTGTGGTTTTAATGGGAGACATACATTTAAACTATTTGGTTTATCAAATAAGCAAAGCAGGTGCCAGAGCCTGGCATGCACTTGATGTGAAGCTACTACTGGGAGTTTTTAATTTTTAAATCCAACACAGACAAAATACCCTCACACCAGATTTTGATATTTAATCCATTCAAATTACCAGAGACCAACAAGCTACTGATAACTTCATCTGTTTTACTTGGTGAGCCTGTTGCAAACACACTCAAGTAGAAATAATAGATTAATAAACAAAAATCATGACATGATTCCAAAAGTTGATTTGTTTTTCCTTTTAGGTAGACTACTTGTTTTCCACACACTGCCCTAGATCCACACGCTGGGTTGGTAAAGCTGCTCAGTCTCAATGACAACATTGCAATTTTTTTTCTTGTTAAAGTTTCCGTTCACATGAATGAAAACTAATGTGATTAATATAACTATTTTCACCAGACACTGTGTTAGAGGAAGAGAAGAAGAAGAAAAAAAAAAAAATACAGTTCCACTGAAGCTTGTGGTTACACCGGTTCAGGTAGCACAGATGTTCCAGTATATTAGCTGCAAGCATTCCCAGTACAGC